GGTCGTGCGCTCGAGGAGCTCGCGCGCGGACGTGAGCACGGGCAGCGGTGCGTCGTCGCTCGGCCGCGAGAGCCGCAGGGCCGCTGCTGCTGCTGCTGCTGCTGCTGAGGGCGGGGCGACGGCGGTGTGGGAGGGCCGGGTTGTTGTCGTGCCTGAGGAGAAGAAGAAGAGCGGCGGCGGCCTCGGGTCGTTGTTCAGCTTCAGCACGAGCACGAGCAGGGAGAAGGAGCGGGAGAGGGAGAGGGAGAAGGAGAAGGAGCGGGCCCTTGCGGAGAGGGCGCGCGAGAAGGAGAGGGAGAGGGAACGGGAGAGGGAGGGGCAGAAGAAGAAGCTGAGCAAGGCCAAGCGGTGAGAGGTAGACCAGGCGCAGGCCGTCGTCTCGATCCCCCTCTCCGGCTTGTGGGAACGCCACAATGCGCTATTTCTGGCCTTGGCTATTCTCGTCCGCTCGCTCCGAAACTCTGGCGGATCGCGAGACTTTCTATGACCTCATGGCTTCATGACCGGTGGCGGCGGCTCGCTCGTCCGTCCGTCCACACACCCGTGTTCAAGATCACGACAGCCCTATGCAACGCCTACGCACCCCGAAAACGTCTTCACGATCAGTCTAATCTCTAATCTTTCTGTGCTTTTTTCTTGCGCGGCACCCTGGACCTACCGGACTCAAAACCCTGACCTCGACTGAAGCACTCCATGTCTGACTTTTTTTTTTTGCGCATCTCACGTCTGGATTCACCGTTTTCGACTCTTGTGGCATAGTGTTGACCCCCATTGTAGCTCTCCGAGATGTATTGTGCTCTGTGGCTGTAGTATTGTAATCGCCTGTTGCTGTATCCTCGCGAACTCCGCTGTCTTCATAACCTAGACAACTGCTGTCAATATGTACATACCGCTGTAAATTGCATCCTGACACTCGTGTAAAATTGTATGAGAGATCCAGAGCACAATGGATAGCGCATGCAAGGTATAGTCTACAGCAAGAGCAAAGAGCAAGCAGACCTGATATATAATACAAAAAGCATAAGTCAAGAACGTACAGCAAGTGGGGTATTACAACCGGGATGTCAGCCCGGTAGATGAGGTGGGACAGCTTGAGAGCGAATGCAGATGCCGGTAATGCACAAGGGAGTCGCATACAGGGATTATGGGAGGTCGGTTGTGGTACAAGCAGTGCGCGTGAGGAGGTTGGTCGTAAATTGTCGTCGTCTGGCCTTTGCGCGCGCTCTACTCCTTTACTGATTCTTGAGCGCCGAGCAAAGGCCTGTCTTCGTCGTAACAGGCTGTCTGTTCCCGATTGCCGGGCGAAGGGTCCTTAGTACCTGAGGACCACGAGGGGCAGGCTCCGGCGGAGCCGCCTCGGACGCGGCCGCTGCTGCGCCTCCTCGGCGTCCTCGAGCGCGATCGCGCCGCACACCGAGCCGGGGTCGATCCGGCTGAGCTGGTGGAGGAAGAAGAGGAGGAACACGGGCTGGGCGAGCACGTCGAGCGCGCCGTACGCGCCGGCCGCGGCGGCGGGCGCGAGCGCAGAGCTGTGCGCGAGGACGTGCGTCGCGGGGTAGCCGAGCAGGACGAGCGCGAGGAACGCGGCGGAGAGCAGGTAGCGCGTCCCGAACGCGTCTCCGGCGGCGTACGCGGACTTGGTGCCCTTGACGAGGACGTTGTGGCTGGCAAAAATGGGGCATCAAGGTTTGCGACGGGACCGAGTATCAGGGGAAGAAAAATTTATGACGTACATGACGCAACCGAAGGCGACGCCGGACATGAGCGAGAACCAGCGGCCGTAAGCGGGCGCAAAGTCGGCGACGAGTCCTGACAGCACAAGGACGACTGCAGCGAAGAGCGTGACGAGGATCTCGAGCAGCGAGAGGCCGGTCACGAGCAGGACCGAGAGCAGTAACAGCGGGAGGTTGATGATCCACATAATGTACCACGCAAACTGCGGTCAATGGGGTTAGAAGAACGGACGTGAGAAAGTGAATGGCGGGCTGTGCGCACTGAGATGGTTCTGAATGCAGCCCCTCCGCCAATCTGCGCCTCCGGACTCGATGTACCTGCAAATACGCACGAGGTCGGTTAGAGCGCGTCACTCGGCTACAGAGCTAAGACAGAAGACGCACTGAGATCAAAGGCCATGCTGAAGTAGGCCAGACTGGCCGTGGTGAGGACGACTATCGCAATCTGGTGGAACAAGCGAATGCCTCGCGGCCGCTGCATGGGCAAAGAAGAGGGCACCGGTCAGCGATTGATGTGCTTTGTGGCAGCTTAGTGCGGTGCGCGCTAGGGCTCACCATGAAGTCAAGAACGATAATGGCAAGTAGCGACGTGATCATGCACACGAAAGCGAGCCAGTACCAGTTGTAGCCGTGCATGGTGAGGTAGAGGCCGACGTCGAGAAGGCTGGGGAACGAGTCTGTTGGTCGCTGGTCAGCCATCGAGTACGGTGTGAGTCCTGTCGGGAGGGAGAGGGGATAGGTCCTGTGGACGGAGGGGAGGGAGGGGGAGGGGAAAAAAGGACTGGACATTGTACGGAGGGGCTGACGTGCATAAATATGGGCCGTCGACACGCGCATCAGAGGAGAGAGGCCGTCGAGGCTTGCGACTGACTAAACAACTCGACCCGAAGTCCTCCAAACGCCGACGCTGTCCATTGTCCTATTCCGAACCCTCCTCGATCCGAGCGCGAATGCCACCCCTCTCCGCCGTGGGCCGTCTTCTCGGGCGTTTTCAAATTTCACCGCCCTGCAAATGCGGGAGGCGAGTCCGACGCGACACCGACGCCAGGGCCGCCGCCGCTCGACGCGCGATCGCTCTTCGGTCACGTCGCCGCCTCGCCGACTCTTGTGTTCTGCTGCGGGTCTAGATGTGGCATGGATGTCACCGTATAAGCTTCCCGAAGATCCCATGCTCCCAGCCCGTATAAAGCACCACACGAACTCTATCTTCCCCCACCCCCTTGTCTCGCACCCCCAACATCAACAGCGTCCCGTTCACCATTCACCAAGTCAACATGCCACCCTCCAGCGGCAGAGTGCAGTCCCTCGTCGTTTCGCACCCGGCGCTGTCTTTTACGGCTTCTTCGGCCGTACTGGGCTTGTTTGCCCTGTCGCCCACACCGCCTCTCGTTCCTGTCGCGCTACTTGTCGCCATCATCCGCCTCTCGGCCTGGACGTTCGTCCCCAGGCAGCACGGCTACGTCAAAGGTGGGCTGCAGGCCCTCGCCATCGCCGCCTCCGCCGGCGCGGCACATCTCGCTCCCGGTCTCGACGCGACGTCAACGCCTCGGACGGCGTTCGTCGTTCTGTCGGCAATGTCCCTCGGAACGTCCGCGTTCGCTGTTTTCCTTGTCTTCCTCGGTACTCGGCTCGGCTGGTCCGGGAACATGCACTGGTCCAAGCTGACCGTATTCCCTGCGCTTTGGGCGTCCGGTTGGGGCTTGATGTCAGAAGTGACCAGCGTAGGTCAGCTTGTGACATGGAGCCCCGTCGTCGGACAGGGCCCGTACGTGTGGATGAGGCAGTTCTTCGGGCAATGGGGCATCGACTGGGTCACCGCGGCCTGGGCGGTGGTAATTTCCGAAGTGTTGGGAGACTGGCTGGTCGGCGCACCAGATCACGACGGAGATGCGTTGGTCGACACCGAGCCTCTCTTGGGGGATCATGCTCATCCTCAATACGGCTCCGTTGCGACCCCAGCAGACACGAAGACTTCCGCTCCCTTGTCCAGGTCACGCAGCCTCCTGGTCCTTACCGGGACCTTGGTGCTGCTGATGCTGCCGTCGTACACGTTCCCGGTAACTCCCCTTCCGTATACCTCTGGGGACACTGTCACCCCCTTCCATGTCTCTTGCGCACTCCCCATTACTCGCTCTGGCAACCCGACACTTGAAGACTACATCGTGGAGACACGCAGAATCCAAGATAAAGCAGACGTCATCCTGTGGCCCGAAAGCGCAGTGCGCTTCGAGAGCCCGCAAGAGCGCGAGGAGGCATTTGCAAGGATCCAGAACAGCAGCGGGGTGACCAACAAGAAACATATCGGAGTCTCGTTCGAGGAATACGTGCCCGCGGATGCCCGAGGCCAGCCCGGGCATCGTTATAACGGCTTTGCCCTGCTTTCGCTCAAAGGGCCGCCAGCCATCGAATATTACAAAAGAAATCTCGTTCCCAGTACGTCGGCGTTTTGTATCAGAACTGTCATGTGCTGACGATATGTGAAAGTCGCCGAGTCGTTTTCTCTGACCCCGGGCACGGACCACCTGCCATCTTCGACGTCGAGCTTGACAGGCCGAAGGGGGCTGCAGGTCCCAAGACACGTCTCGTCCCCGTCACCGCCTCCATCTGCCTCGACTTTGCGTCGACGTCATCGTTCACGCCTCTCGAGAACCGCGCGGCCGTCATCCTCGCGCCGGCGAAGACGTGGCACCCGAGCGTCGGGCTCGCGATGTGGGAGCAGGCGAAGGCGCGCGCGGCCGAGACGGGCGCGTCGATCGTGTGGTGCGACGGTGGGCGCGGCGGGCTCAGCGGGGTCGCGGAGGGACGATACAGCGAGATCGTGCAGGTCGGGCCCGGCTCGTGGAGCAAGCCGCTCGGGGTGCCGTACCCGTTTGACGAGCGTCGCACGTTCTACGAGCGCGGCGGGCAGTTCGCGACGCTTGGCACGGTGTGGGCCGTGGTCGCCGCGGGGTACGTCGTCGAGATCGCGTTTAGCGACAAGGCAGTTGGTGGCGTGCGCGTGGCTGTCCAAACTCTCGCGCAGAAGCTTCGGGGAGGCAGGCCGACAGAGGGGAATCTCTTGGACATGTAATTAATGGAGGTGCGAGCTTTCCGCGCACCCCTGTGCCAATGACACTGATATGTGGCCTTGCAGCAATTGATGGCCCCGAGTTGTGCCTCGTGCCCGCTTTTTTGTGCCGGCTGTTTGCTCTCCAAATGTGGGCTAGCTGTCCCAAATCCGTTGGTATTCCTAGTTGTCATGTGTGACCTGAAATAAGCTTCTAGTGTGTGATGTGTTTGAGAAGGGCCGCGCTTGTCTCGGAGTCGGAATAATGCGAGGATGCTCGTTTGTCGACGTCGGCGATCAATGGGAGATATTGCGGGGACGGTGACCACATGGGGCCGGCGTGCCAAGGGCTCGAGCCAGAATGGAGCCAAATTTGCTCTGTGATCCGAACAGGTGGGGGCGGACGACGGCGACGCGGCGGGTGCATCTCAGATCTCAGGCATTGTGGCGCAGCGCGCCTCGCCATCAGAAGTACCGACGTCTGTCCCGAACAGGAAGCCGCCCTTCGTTACCGCTTGGCCTCCCCGCCCGCCTTCGCAGCGCGCAGCGAGCAGCGAGCGACCCACAGCGGCGTGCGGGCATCGTCCGCGCACGACGGGTGTCTCATATCATTTATTACAACTGATTCCGTGCTGAGCTCGCGGGCTCGCGATCATCGCCAGCGGCGCAGAAGAGGGAAAGGGGCTTGCGCCCGCCGACGCCGGAACTGGTGTAGTCGCAACTCTGGCCTCGGTCAGCCTCAACGATCACTCTCCAAAAGCTTTTCTCGCCGCGGACCTTCTTGCGCCGCGCCGCGCCCCGGTGCCGTCGCAGGTGTTGCTCTCACACCCACGCACACGCCCACCCCTGTGTGCCTCCGTCCTAGCTAGATCCAATTTGCCAGAAGATGTTTCGTCTGTCAGACGCCGTGCGTCGCGGGCGCGGTTGAACGACGACTCGGTAGATAAACGATAAACCCCTGCTCAGCGGCTGAGACCTCCCCTTCCCCTCTCGTTCAGCCCTTTCGGTTCCCTGTACCACCTTCTCTTAATACCTTGACGGTCTGCCTTCCCTTCACGTTTGCTCAGGCGCGCCGCTGCTGTAAATATCGAATCGCGGTACATAATCCAACACCGAAAGCGTCATGACGGCATACGGCACCACTCTCGGTGCGCTGCTTATCGGGGCACTCCTGGCCGCCTTGTAAGTTTCCCCTATTGCGCTTCACCGAACAAAACGCGCTCATGTACGCGACGCGTGGCGCAGCTTGTCGGGGATCGTGTCCATGCAAGTCTTTGTGTACCACAGGCTGTACCCCAACGATAGCTTCAGAATCAAGTTGACCGTACGTCATCCGCCTCGTCTCGCGGTCCAAACTCCTGGCTGATGGCACGCGACGCACATAGGTCACCGTCGTGTGGTATGTCGCACCCTCGTGTGAGACTCGCGCCACCCGCTGACCCTCGCGCCCCAGGTTCTTGGATCTCATACACACCGTCATGATCTGTGTCGCCAACTGGCTGTACCTCGTTCAACACTTTGGCAGCGACACCACGGCGCACGAGATTCTTTGGTGAGCTCTCCACCGGTTGCTCTCGGCGATCTAATGCTCACGCGCCTGGCAGGCCCATCTCGGTATGTCGCCGTCTTTCGCTAAAGTATGCACGCGTCTTGATATACGGGTGAATATCTTAATTAGGCTACGATTGCCCTTACAGTACGTGTCTAGCGAACGTTTTCTTGGGCTTCTCCTAACCGATGTGCAGGCCGTCGTCACCTTCCTGGTCCACATGTTCTTCGCACATAGGGTATACTCTCTGAGCAGGCGAAAGTGGTTCATCGCCGGCCCCATTGTCGCCCTGGGCACTCTTCGAGTCGGTACGCGACATTTTCATCCCTGCAAGCGAAGAAAAATGTTAATGACGACGCAACCTCCCACACAGTCTCTGCCATGAGCTGCACTGCTCAAATGGTCCGAGACAAAACTTGGGCCAAGTTCGCCGAAGACTCAGCGGTACGCTCGCTTGCCTATCTCTCCGCGTGGCGAAAACTTACGCCCCTGACAGTGGCTTTTCACCACCGGTCTGAGCATTTCGGCGGTCCTGGACTTCCTTATTGCACTGGCTCTCATCTTCCATCTGCAGAAGAGCAAGACCGGCTGGCAGTCGTAGGTTGCCATTCTCTCGTTGTCAGAACTGCCTCTCACACATTCGGTACAGCATGGACCAGATCATTGACATGATCGTGTTGTACACGGTCGAGAACGGCCTGATCACTCGTCCGTTCCGCCTTCATGTCGAGACCCGTGCCCGTCGCTGATCATCG